TCTAAGCACACCATCCGAGCTGACTGGCAAATAATACAAATTTACTCGTCGGTGGTAACTTTCGAAACACCGACACTTGTTAACTTCAACCAACAAATACTTCATGCAATAGTTCATACCTTATACTAACCCTTAGGAGCAAAATATTTAAGCACCATTGAAAGCTCTAGTTTGGTTTTGGTTAATTGATGAAACCCTAAGTGCTAACCTAGTTTATCAAAGTGATTATAAGATAGGTAGCACTACTCCAAGTGATGAAGCAATGGAGAAGATCATGGCGATGGTGATGGCATGGTGATGATCAAATGCTTAAACTTAGAAAAGAAGAAAGAGAAAAACAAAAGGCTCAAGGCAAAGGTAAAAATTATAGGAGCCATTTTGTTTTAGTGATCAAGACACTTAGTGAGTGTGATCATATTTAGGATCGATAGCCGTACTATTAAGAGGGATGAAACTCGTATCGAAATGCGGTTATCAAAGTGCCACTAGATCCTCTAACTTATTGCATATGCATTTAGGATCTAGTGGAGTGCTAACACCCTTGAAAATGTTTGTGAAAATATGCTAACACATGTGCACAAGGTGATACACTTGGTGGTTGGCATATTTGAGCAAGGGTTAAAACTTCACCGGCGCCCTAAGCGAGAGAAAAGGCAGGGTCACTGAGTGATCGGACGATTTGGTGGTCTGCGATGGACCGGACGCTGAGGTGTAGCGTCCCGGTCGATGATGACAACAAGCACTTATCTCGGTCTTGTGACCGGACGCTCATGGTCTGAGTCCGGTCAATGCTGACGTACGCTGACGTGAGGCGCACAGAGGAAACGTTGAGTGACCGGACGCAGGTCGAGCATGACCGGACATGTCCGGTCATGAAATGTCGCGTTTGGAACCTTATTGGAAACGACCGGACGCTGAGATCCAGCATCCGGTCACTTTCTAACTAACGCGTCCAGTCATCACTTGACCGTTGAAATCGGGTGATCGGCGTTTGAAGCCGATGACACATGGCGCACATCGCACGACCGGACGCTGAGGTCCAACATCCGGTCAATATGACCAGAGCGTCCGGTCGACCCGTGTTCAGTGCAGTGAGGAGCCCAACGGCTTTATTTCGTGGGGGCTTCTATTTAAGCCCAAGCTCACTCTCTTAGCCATTTGCATTGACATAGCAACCTTGTGAGCTTAGCCAAAGCTCCCCCACTCTTCTCCATCATTGATCCATCATCATTGTGAGATTGAGAGAGAATCCAAGTGCATTGCTTGATTGATTGCATCTAGTGGCACTTGGTATTAGGTGTTCATTCTGAGGATTCATTTGTTTCTCTTGGTGGTTGCCACCACCTAGGCGGCTTGGAGCAGCGAGGATCGTTGAGCGGAGGTTGGTGATTGTCTCGGCTCCGATCGTGGTGATTGTGAGGGTCTTGTGCCCCCCGGCGGAGCGCCGAAAGGTAACTCTAGTGAATTGCTCGTGTCATTGAGTTACCTCACTTGTGGGTAGGTTCTTGCGGTGTCAATTGTGTGGGACGAGGTTCGTGCAACACCTCTTAGCCACCGAACCACCAAGTGTTGGTCGACACTAGCATGGGGACTAAGCGTGCCGAACAAGCACGTGAATATCGGGAGAAAAATTGGTTGTCTCTTGACCTTTGATATTCTTTCGATGATTGATTTGGTTTTCATATTGTGATTGGTTCACACATCTACAAGCGGTATAATCATCATACTCACTCATTTATATTCTTGTAAACTAGTTATAGCAAGTTCTTTAGTGTAGCTAGAATTGAGAGTTTACTTTGTAACTTAAGTTCATCTAGTGGAGCTCTTTAGTGTAATAAGTGAGAGAGCTCTTAGTGAGTAGTGACATAGCAAATTGTGTGTTTAGTGATCATAGCAACTAGATTTGTTGGATATGTGGCTTGCAACCCTTGTAGAGCTAAAGCAAGTTTGCATTTCGTTATTTGTTATACTAATCAAATTGCTCTAGTTGGTTTGTAGATTTTTAAATAGGCTATTCATCTCCCCTCTAGCCATATTAGGACCTTTCAACCATTTAATTATTTTGCTCAATATAATTCGTCAAAAATGGTATTTTAACAATAGTTCAAGTGATTGCCGACTTAACGAAAAGAGCTTATCTTAACGTTAAATTTGATTTTTGAGCTCCTAAGAGCACTAGTTAACACTATTTATTTTGATTTTTCTCAACCACATAAGTGAGTCGCATAGAATTTATTTATCATTTCACGTGCGTTATAAATTTTTAAAACCCGAAAACTTGTTTGCCTAATTCCTCTCGAACCTAAATCTCGATGCTAAGCAAACTCGTAACACCAGGAGTGTTACAACATGTCTCTGTGATCAGTGCGGTACGGTTCGGTAAATACCGAAACCAAATCGAAAGTACCGAAATCGAATTTTCTCGATATCGATTTTTGAAAGGAACCGATCGGCAGTTATTTTCTAAAGAACCGAATTTCTGTGGAAAATGAAGTATCGAACTGATCAGTTCGGTATTACCGAATGCCCTGGCTGGGTCCACATCCTCGGCTGTTATTAGTACTGTATCGGTTCGGCGATGCCTGTTGCAATTGCAACAAGCTCCGAGCTGTAGCTGCAGCTTCGATCGGGCCTTCCCGGCACTCGCGCATGTCATGTGCCGAGTTCCAAGCCCAACCACCTACTGGTACTGTAGATGTGATCTCTCTTGCGCAAGAGTACTCATGGCGCCCCCGCGAACCATCACCCTATTTGTTTAGATTTGTTTTTGTTTATAAATCGTACTTTTTTAGTCAATGAATAGTACTTTTCTCTCGTACTAAATCAGCCAACAGTACTTTCAATCATGACTTATCAGCCAAGTAAGCCTACACGAAGAAGACGCATAACTGGCCTGTCTGTGTCGCGTCGTTGTGCCCATGATTCTTCTCGGATCGTATCTGCCGCCACGTCGGCAGTCGGCCCCGCTACGCGCGCCTTCTAGGAGCTTGTTGCATCGATCAGGAAGTGTTAAGTGTGTGTTACCATGCATTTGAGACAGCCCAATGGAGCCGTACGTACGCCAGCTGCGTGCGTCGCATTTGCGCCCAGGCACAAGTGCTAAAGTGCTTCCACGCCGCGTCAGCCGTCAGGGCTTCTGGTGGGCGGTGGCGGCAGGCCTGGCCAGCCATAGACGATGCCGCCTGTGCATGGGGTCTGGCCGTCTGGGCCTCTGGGAGCCTCGGCCTCGGCGGTAGGGCTGTGCCTGTACCGGGAAGGACGGCTCGGCCACCGTTTCGTCTGCCACTGCCACCGCCAAAACCAGAGGTCCTTTGATTGATCTGGGCCATGTTTAGTTCACCTGAATCGGCGCCGTCGAAAATACTATAGCTACACAGTAGTATTTTTGTTTTTATTTGTAATAATTGTCCAATCGTTGACTAATTAGGCTTAAAACGTTCGTCTCGTAAAGTACAACCAAACTGTGCAATTAGTTTTTGATTTTGTCAATATTTAGTACTCATGCGTGTACCGTAAGTTTGATGTAACGGAGAATCTTCTTTTTGCATAGTACACAAGTTTGGATTTTTGGGTGATCTAAACATGGCCCTGATCGGCGCCGCGCTGGTCCATGGACCATGGCCGGCGCCACCACCGCAAGTACCAGACCACTAGTATTGCTCGTACGCTGATCCTTCAATGTGCCTCCACCTCCATCATACCGTCAGGTGAGCCAGCCGCCAGCGATCGGTCGTCGGTCAGTCGATCCATCCATCCGTGCATGGATTAGTACCCTCGGCGCGAGCGCTAACCCATCATCATCATCATCATCATCAGGGAGAAGAGACGACGAAAGGGCGTCGGCGTTGGTTGCCGAGTACGTGACGCGTCGCGATCCCAGGAGCATGCAGCGTACGTACCACGTACTGTACAACAACAACAACAACACAGAGGAGGCCTGGAGGAGTGGAACGCCGAGACAAGATCCGGGAAATGAGCGCGCACTATGGAGAACGGGACAAGGTGGAGAAGAAGCCGCTCGCCGGGAGCCGCTTGGTCCGTCCTTGCCTGATTGGATTTGGAATTGGACCCGCCCGGCCTCAGTAACCATCACACCGCAGGCGCCGGGCCGGGCCTCGCTCCTTGCGTCGCGTCGCAACGAGCACGGGGGGTCCTCACCTTTCCACTGCTTCGGAGTTCGCGAGTGCCTTTTTGTTATCGGTGACCACCCACAAGGACCTTTTCTTTCCCTGGACCAGGACGGCGGTGTTGATGCCATGCCATGGCCGTGCTCCGCCTGGAGGTCCGTGGGGTTTGGCGTGGCGCATCTCGGCTGGGAAGCGGTGGTCAGTGGGCACGAGCTGCGCCGCAGACGTGTTTATCGCTAGTGCTAAATGCAATGGTCAAGTCAAACTGTGCTTTGTACTTACAGGTAGCCAGGTAGGAGTAGGAGGAGGGGTGTGGTTGCCTGCCTGTGCCTGGCTGGCTTGCCCCGAGTCCCTGACCAGTTCAACTGACACTGTGGCTCTTCTACGCATCCCCCAACCACCCAAAATGCGTCGTCGTTATGGCAGCGTTACTGCATGTGTGTTTCCGTTCGGAGTTATGGACACCTTCTACCTTCACATGGATGGGATGGCCATGAGCCCATGATGGATCGTTGGAAGCATCAACGAGTTACTCCTCCTAGAGATGTCATCCTCATCGCCACAACTCACACGGTGAACATTTCAAGATCGGACTGCACAACAATGCCGGTCTGTTCAGCAACAACGGAACGAGTTCGGCTGCATGAGCTTAATTAATGAAGAAAACGATCAAAGATGGGGGCGGTGATTTGATTTGACGAACACATCAACAAATTCAGGTGTAATAATTGTTAGTCTAGTAGTAATCAAAGTGCCCACATGAACAGACAAGACGTCAGGGCCATCAGCACGAATGCACGATCAAACCCAAATTCCACAGCACGATTTTCAACTTATGAGCAGTTCTTGTTGTTGAAATCACACACGCACACACTAGGAACGGCTGGGGGGTGAGAGGACGAGATCTATACGAGGCAATTCAACGAGATGGGGGTGATTAACCGGCCATGTTCCAGCTCCGAATTTCAACTCACCGCCACTGGAGCTGCCGCTGCTTTTGCCTCTGACGACGACGACGGTGGTGGCGCCGGGGATGGTATGGACAATGCCGACGCCGAGGAGTTGCCGTGGACGGTCACGTGGCTGGCCGGCACCACGGTGATGGTCTTGGTGGAGGTGGAGGTCGTCGTCGGCCGCAGCGCCCCTCATGGGGCTCGCCAGCGCCCACGCCCAGCTCCGGTGGCTCCGCCCGGACGACCTCTTGCTGCCGCTGCTGACGCTCGCGCACTCCGCTGCGGAGAGCCAGTAGGAGGACGACGCGGGACCCAGGGCGCCGAAGAAGCCCGCGCACTTGATCCGGTGCTGGTGCTCGTACACGTCGTCCTCCTCGCCATCGTCGTCGTTTGCGCCAGCGCCGCCGAGGTGGTGCAGGCCTCCGCCGCCGTGCATCTTGTGGGGCTTGGGCTCGCGGTGGGACTCGACGCGCCGGAGCGTGCAGTCGCCGAAGCCGTTGGAGAGGCGCTCCAGGAAGTCCCGGAGAAGCTGCGGCTGCCGCAGCCCACGGAGCGCGACCGCGCCACCTTGCGCCCGAAGGAGGAAGACGACGACACCTGGCTCTGGCTGGGGCTCTCAGGCTCGCCGATGGCCTCCAGCGTGGACGCCGTCCCGGTCCCGGTCCCGCCTCGCGGCTGCTGGTCCTGCGCGCCGGCGCCGGCCCTGGACGCCCACGCCGCCGACGCCACGGACACCGACTTCCTCGCGCGGCGGCGGCGGCACCCGCATTGGTGGCGTACGGCGTGGAGGCGGCGGCCTGGTGCGCGTAGGCGGAGGAGGTGAGGGAGAGGAAGGACCAGAAGCTCTTCTTGCGCGGGCTCTCGGCCGCCAGCGACGCCGACGACGCCGACGAGTAGGGGAACTGTTCCAGCTCGGGCCTCGGCGCCACCGACTTGCTCCGCTTCAGCCCGCCTCCCCCCACGGAGACGGCGGCGGAGGACGACGACGACGAGGGCGTCTTCTTCCGGTGGAACGACATGAACTTGCGCGAGGCGCCGCCGGACGGGTGGAGCGGCGGCGCCAGGGGCTCGGTGGCGCGGCGGAACGACGGCGGCGACGACGGGGACCCCGACGGCGGCGGGTGGCCGCCGAGCGGGAAGAAAGGGCTGGACTTGGAGGAGGACACCAGGCGGCCGAGCTTCTCCTGCAGGCAGAAGGCGCATATCCCCCCGCCGGCGACCGCCGCCGCCGCGGCGGCGGTCGCGGGCCGGTAGGGGTGCTCGCTGCAGTACTGGATGCCGTCCAGCGGCGGCGCCGGCGCCGTGCCGTCGTCTTGGTCCCCCGCGCCCGCGGCCACGGCCGCCGCGTCCTTCGCCTGCTTCTCCCCCATGGTTCCCTCCTCTCCGGCCGGGGACACGCTCTCTCTTGCCTGTTTCTTGGCCGTCGGACACACGGTCGCCGCGCCAACCGGGAAGGAGGACGAGGATCTAGCCTTAGCTTCCAGCTACACCGCGGCCATGCGCAGCACAGAGAAGCTAGGATTTTTCTGGCGGTGCTGGACGCGACCGATTTTTTGCCTCCGCCACTGGGCCGCGCCCCTGATCCCGACTCGAGAGGGAGGGCGGGTGGTGGAGGGAGGGAGAGCAGCTGTACCAGACGAGCGCTGCAGCTGCAGCCTGCAGGGCAGAGGAGAGAGAGACTGATGAGAGGAGGTGGTCGGCTGGTCGTGGCGTGGGAGTGATGGGTCTTCTGCTCTGTGGCTCCCCTTGTGTTTGTCCGTGTATGTGGCGCGCGGGTAGAGCGGGAGGGCCGGGGAGGAGGGAGAGGCCGGGTGCGGGGCGCCATTCGGTTCGGCCATCCCAATCCCATGCCAGGACTTGTTCGGGAGGTCGTATCGTATTGTGGATTATTTACTGCTGTCTGGTTTGGTGTGAGAGAAAAACACTGTTCCTCACTGGAAATTTACGATCGTTTACGAGCGAGCGAACAGGCTGTTGGATTGCAAATTTTTACAATTCAGAAACTATAGTATATTTCGTTTGTATTTAACAAACTTTGTTCGATCATGGACTAACTAGGCTTAAAAAATTCGTCTCGTGATTTACAATTAAACTGTGCAATTAATTATTTTTTTACCTACATTTAATACTCCATACATATGTCTAAAAATTGATGTAACAGGTAGAGTGAAAAAACTTGGAATTTTGATACGATCTGAACAAGGCCCCATTTGGGTTTTCGCGGGCGGGGCCTTTGTTTAATGCGGGCCGGGAATACGAGGCCAGGCCCGGTACTGGGGTGGTGGCAGCAGCTTTGGTGCGTTGCCCGAGCAGGAGACCACGTGGGGAGGCTATCTCCTTTTCAGGCGCAGGGAGGCTAAACAGTATTTTTCTTTCACATCAAGTCAGTCAGCAGCCACCCGAAATAAACAGGCTACGCTTCGCATGCTGTACATGTACTCGAGGGGGCACCACATCGACGGGTCCCAAACGCCATTAGGTACAAACGAGGCATCTTGTACGCAAATAAATCAAAGACAATCCACATTATACGAATTTTGGGTTTCAGGCCTAAATCCATGCCATGACTTCGTTAGTTACCATGTGTTTGTTTGGGGCCAACTGGGTTGGGTTGGGTCCAACCCAGTTTTTTGGTTGGGTCAAACCCATCTCGCGTTTGGATAGAGTGATAGAGCCATTTCAATTTGTTATTTGATACGAGGGATTAGATGGGTTGGAATGGATGTCATTGTAAACACCATATGCTACGGTTAGACGTGGGACTTAGCTGTCAGCCAACCTTCCATCTTCTTCCCCCTCTCTTCCAACAGAGCACCACCACACAACAGAGCACCGGCGCTGCCCATCCCCACGCCGCCACACAGCTCGCCCAACACAGGCCGGCCTTGCGCCGCCGCCAGCTCGCTCGAGCCCGTGCTCTCCCGCCATGGCCGCCACCTCCCCGAGCTCGAGCTTTCCCGCCATGGCCGCCACCTTCCTGACCTCGCGGTCACCTGCCATGGCCGTTGCTTTCCCAAGCCCGAGCTCGCCTGCCATGGCTGCCACCTCCCCGAGCACCGCCCTGGCCACGTCGGAGGAGGTCCTCCCGTGTCGCTGCTCGCCCAGATCCGGAGGAGCACTGCGGCCGGGGACCAGGACAGGGCAGGCACGGACGCCACCACGACTACCAGGGCCAGGGCGAGCGCTGGGGATGGGGCTGGGCGGGCGCTAGCGCCGCTGCGACCCCGCGAGCGCCGGGGGCGTATGCGGACGCAAAAGAAAGGGCGTTGAAGTGGGTTCGCTCGGTCCCCTCGTTTTGGAGGAACCAGCTGAACCCGAGTATTGAGGGAATATGCCCATATGGGTTTAACCCATCCCGCTTAATTTTCAATCCAAATAGCAGATCATCTGGGTTGGACCTGTGATATCGCAATTAAACCCGTAAACCAAACACACGGCTAGAGGACAAAGTGGGCTGGGTACCACTTGTACAGAGCAACAGGTTACGTATGTACGTAAGGTCTCGCGCATGTACAGTACTCCCCATACAGATATACGTACGGATCAGAACAGGTTTTTTTTTTACTTTCGCTTTGGTTCACCTTCCTCCTGCGTGGCTGCGTGGCAACGTGCCATGCCCGGGCCGCCGGGCCATGCCGTCCCATCCCATGTTCCCGTGGGCGGAGGTGGACTGCAACACAGGCCTCGCGCTGCAAAAAACGGTCAATACTGCAAAAAAAAAAAACTATTATTTTACTAAAATGGTACAGCTGATGAAACGGAGCGTAGATTGAGACTCTCGACTCCCCCGGTTAATTCGTTCCCCTACTCGCTACTCCTATATACAAATTCCATCCTCCTAGCAGGCAGGCAGCAGCTACGTGCAACTGCCCCTGTAGCTTCCTGGCGTTTACGATCCACCCGCTGGGTCTGGGCCGGTCTCGCAGCCGCATGCATGTGCCTACCTCCATAAACAACTACCCGTACTGCAGGCTGTTTGTGTTCCGGTGATTTTCGATTTGTATGTATGCGGTTGATGCAGCGATTACCTTCCAAGGCCGCGTTTAGTTGCTCTGTAGCGCGCTGTTTTTATTTGGTAATAATTGTTTAATCGTTGACTAATTAGGCTCAAAACGTTCATCTCGTAAAGTACAACCAAACTGTGCAATTAGTTTTTGATTTCGTCAACATTTAGTACTTCATGCATGTACCATAAATTTGATGTGACGAAGAATCTTCTTTTTACATAGGCCTTGTTTAGATAACCTCCAAATTCCAAGTTTTTTCACTCTCTCTCCATCACATCAATTTTTAGCTGCTTGCATGGGGCATTAAATGTAGGTAAAAAAAATAATTAATTGCACAGTTTAATTCGAAATCATGAGATAAATCTTTTGAGCTTAGTTGGTCCACGATTGAACAATATTTACCAAATAAGACGAAAGTGCTACTATTCATCGGGTTGCAATTTTTTGCAATCTAAACATGGCCATAGTATTAAAGTTGGAAATTTGGTGGAACATGGCCCAATTCTCCTGATGCGCGCAGGCATGCCGACAGGACAGTTACGCTGAACTAACTCCACGTTCCGTTTGACAGAACTGTCCAAAATCTAGCGTTGTCCTCTGACTGAATTTTTTTCAGAGTCTCCTTTGAGGCGCTTTGACTTTTGAGTTACCTTCGGCCCACTAGGCACGCAGCCCATGCAGCCCAGGAACTGGCGGTGGCTAGTGTAGCCCATCAACCGAGGACAACAGTCTTGAATTGTGAGGTGGTTTCTTTTTTTCCCCCTTCGTTTCGGTATTGGCATCTTCTTTTTTCTTTTTACGAAGTGGTAATCATATTACTGGTTATTTTTAGCCTATATCAAACCGTACTTCAACACCGTTTAGATTAATATGTTACATAAATATTAAAAAGTTTGTGGATAAATTTAGTATGTGTATAAAAACTTATCAAAGTGACTGTGTTTGCTCTCATTATGTTCATTCCCTCCTACGGTACTCTATAATGCCGATTTGGTTGTCATAAATGTATAAATTAATCTATATGTAACTTTTATCTTTTCATTGCAACTATCTAGATATTTAATATTTATTAAGTTGACCAAAAGTAACGGTTTACATAATTTATTGCCATGAGATATTAATATACCTTAAAGTGAATTATGAGTGTCATTGGCATATGGTTTGTTAAGGAACAAGATTGACACACTATTGAAATAGATATTTATCCTAGTGTATGCATGTTTACTTGGTTGACATAGAGGCACATAGCTTTATTCTCACTTTAAATTTAATAGTGCTAGAAGTACATAGTTTTTATCTTCATTGTTGGTGTTTTTACCTCCAACTAATAATCATTGTATCATACGCATTAAATCAGAGGAGTGGCGCAAGAACATATACTTATACTGGTTCAGAAAAAGGTGCCCTACGTCCACTATATAATGTTGTTTATATCGCTCGTGCCCCGTATGCTCGAGTCAGTTGCGGGTAAGAGATCACAACTATTGTTTTATTGTGTATTGATATGGTTTGCTAACACTACGTAGAAAACGATTTGTAGCAACGGTTCAATTTTTTTGTAGGGGCGGCTGGTGATGGAGCCGCCCCTACAGTGGCGTGCTCGGGTGCCCAGACACCAGCCGCCTCTTCAAATGGAACAGCAGGGGCGGCTGGTGATACGAGCCGCCCCTACAAATGGAGTATGATTTTTAGGGGCGGCTCAATCACCAGCCGCCTCTAGAAATGGTATTTGTAGAGGCGGCTGGTGATTGAGTCGCCTATAAAAATAGCCCGTATTTATAGCTTCTATTTGTAGGGGCGGCTCAATCATCAGCCGCCCCTACAAATGACCCCCATATAAAACTGAAGCAGCACCTTCTTCCTCCTCGGGTCATTCACTCCAACCCGTGAAAGAAAGTTGGGGAGGGCTTGGGCACCTCCCAAAAATTGCTCTACTAAGGGGGGAAGATTTTGGTCTCAAATCCTTTGGTGGAGAGGTTGTAGAAGGTAAGAAAATGCTATTCCATACTTTTTTTTTGAAGTTTTAATGGTTGATTAGTGAATAATTATAGTTTTGTTTTTCTCTCTCTTCTATGGTGCTTGAGCTATTTATGAGCAAATTAGACCCAACTTTTAAATGTACTAGGGTAAATTAGGGAGGGGAACAAGATCATACCCTTATTTGGTCCATGTTTCTTGATTTTAGTGAACCATTAGTTAGTTTTATGGATGTTTCATGTGCATGTGATATAGATCTAGGGTTTGGTTTTTTTATTAATTTCATTTTTGTAAATTTATGTTTGATAAAATTGGACTAGGGTTTGTACGAAAGATATTGTGTAAAGTATAATTATTGCTAATTGTTGTCTTTGAAATTGTTTATT